GAAGAACTATATTTCCAAGTTTAACGTTTGAGAGAACTGTGCGATTTTTTGGTCGGGGTTGCAAACTAGTCAAATAATCACGGTGCCACGATTTCCCAAAATGTTCACGCTTAGCCTGCAAGAGCTGCCATCTGGAAAGACGGTTTTCATTTATCCCATCATACGATGACTCGGGGATCGCGGTCATCGGCCTTCCGATGATGAAATGGCCATGGGTAATAACTTCTCCTTCGGCGGAGTCGTCAGAAAGCGAGAAAAAGGGACGCGAGTTTAGTGTTGCCTCTACTTGGGCCAACAATGTGCTAAACTCTTCAAAAGTCAGGGGGGTTGATTTGAGGATTCGTTTCAAGTGGAATTTAGTGGATTTTACAGCGGCCTCCCATAGGCCGCCGAACTCTGGAGACTCCGGTGGGATAAATCGGTGGGATTCATTGCAGTTTCATCACGGAACATGGTAAAGAAATTATGTAACTCGGTCTTGGCACCGAGGAAATTGCTCCCATTATCTGAATGGAGCTCCCGAACCAAGCCGCGCCGGCTAACAAATCTCTGAAGCGCTGCAATGAAGGCTGAAGAAGTCATATCAGAAACACACTCTAGATGAACGCATTTAGTCACAAGACACACAACACACGAAACAGCCTTTGGTTTGACGCGGAAACACTGGACACACAACCTAGTTATTTTTCGAACGGCGGATCGGGATCCTTGCAGCCAAAATCGTTGCCTCAGGGAGGACAGCAATCCTGAGGGACCAATGTGAAAATTTTCCTCCTGGTACGCTCTGATAATAAGATCAGTAAGGGGATGACGTGGTAAGATGTATTGGTGCTTGGACTCGTAGGGAGGTTTGAATTTTGAATTCGTCCACCAACTCTCAAAACTCCATCTTGAATGAAGGGACCAAGTGATCCAATGTGCTTGCAAGGTTCACCGTCTTTCACTCGCTTAAACTCATCAAAAAGGGTCTCATGCTGAATGACTTGAACGATTGTATGCAAAGAGGCACGCAGCTCTGGAATTGTAGGCAAATTATGCGAAACGCGATTTTTAGGATTCTTTTGCCGGCAGTTGTAAATAAAACGCTTTACATAAGGAAGAACAAATTGAAGCTTCCTAAGCGAATCGAACCTGGTAAACAACGGAAGTTTGTCGTCGTTGAGAACTATCATTACGGTTGCATTCGCTAGTTTTAGGTCGGGGAGCTCGGACTCAGGAATATCGTCAACACTTTGAGCATGGAAGTGAACTCCGCGAAGGAATTGGAGACCGTTCCACCACATGTCGTTGGTGTTCAGAACGCTGGGCAGTTGGCCACGTGTAATTACGTCGGCGGGATTTTCCTTAGAGCGCACGTAGTTCCAGCTCGTGTGAGCATTTTCCTGAACGATCTCAACGACCCGGTTTCGAACAAAAGGAAGCAGTTAGGGCGGGGATTTTTTGAGCCAATGGAGCACAATTTGACTATCACTCCAGAGCCGAACATTTGTGAAACTTAGTTGAAGAGCGGATGTTACCTTGAGGACTAACCTTGAAAGCAGCACAGCTGTACAAAGTTCTTAACGCGGTATTGTCATATCCTTGGTTGGGGTAATGTTGGATTTGCTGCAGAGTAGTTTGACGGACACGGAACCATCGGATTGAATGCTCCGTAAATAGATACATGCTCCGAAAGCCATTTTCGAAGCATCAGAAAAACCATGCAATTTCAGAACAACGCACTCGGGAAGGGTAACTGAACGCGGGATTCGAATGTCATTCGCATCAACAAGAGAACTGCTGAATTTCAGCCAAGACTCCAACAGAACTTCTTCCAAAGGGGCATCTCAATCGATATGCGCGATCCAAGCATCCTGGATCAACTTTTTTCCCAATACTATTACAGGGGACAGAAGCCCATGGGGGTCGAAAAGCTTTGCGATACACGAAAACATGCTTCTCTTGGTAACTGGGAGGAGAGGACTTGATTCGACACAAAGTTCACGGCAAAGAGAAACTCGTCATTTCGAGGGTCCCAAATGAGGCCGAGGGTCTTGATTAACTCATTGGCTGAGAGTTGATCAAGCTGAATTAGGGTTTCTCTCTGCGACTGTGGAACATTATTGAGAATGGGTTCATAGTTAGTGCACCATTTGTGGACAGGGAAACCACCGAGCTCTAGCATTTCTTGAATTTGCTTTCGAATTTCCTGTTCTTCTTGGACAGAGTCAGCGCCAGACAATACGTCATCGACGTAGCAGTCATTACGGATGACACGGTTTGCCAACGGGTACTTATTTCTTTTATCGTCGCAGAGCTGGAGCAAGGATCGTGTTGCTAGAAGTGGAGCTGTAGGCAGTTTCTCGGACGCCAAAATATTCGCTGAAGGGACGTTTGAAGGGGAGCAAGAAATACCTGGCGGTACATTTTTTGTATGTCTATGCCATCTTTTGAACGGAGCATCCTAGCCGAATGGCTTTTACGGCAAAGTTGTGTAATTTGAAGTGTTGAGAAATGTTGTCCAAGACATCAATACTCTATGACTCATATTAAGCGAGATATCGGGCAATTAGGAAAACTAACCTCTAAAATTGCGTTTTTTTTTCCTTTTTTCACCTCTATACGTAAAATGTACAAGTTTTATACTCTGATAATTAATAAAATGGTTTGACTCATCCAATAAATACCCATTACTTTATATATCATGCTTTATTATAAAGTTATTAACAAAAATGTCTCAAAAAAGTGATGCATAAAAATGTCAATTACTCAAAATATAGCAAAAAGTAGCAGTCAATTTTTTTACAGTGATTAGTGTAGACCTTGCTGGGTAAAATAACGACCACAGTTCAACAGGCAACTGCAGGCATTTTCATATAACATCACTGAATTTTAGGGTACCATCGAGCTTTGGTAGCTCCCCATGGGCAAAAGTTGGCTCCCACAGCTTACGAGTGTTTGGATCGAGGCAAGATATCAAAATTTTGTTAACAATCAGACTGGATGTTCCTTCGGCCGATTGTTGCATAAACTTCAGACCTTCAATGTGTCGCGTACAAGAGTCAACTAATTCCCTAAGTTCTTTGTGAGACTCCTTACTCATCTTTTTCAAAGAAAGGAGCTCACCAATGAGAATGTCCACAATGACCCTGGGGTTTTCATAACGCTCCTCAAATATTTCCCAAGCATAGGCATAGTTGTTGTCGGCTAATGTTCTCGAGTCAATGATGTTGGCTGCTGCGCCAACAAGAGATTTCTCCAAATGATGCAACTTAATGGCATCCGAGTCTGAACACCAAACATTGACTTAAATCGAGGCCAACTTTCATACCGACCATCAAAAGTCGGTATGGGAGCTTTCAAAGGCTGCTGCTGCACAATAATTCGATTGTGACTGGAATATGGAATCTGGTTGTCAAGATTGGCAACCGGCTTGGAAACTTTTTTAATTAACCATTTGGGACGCATCATACACTACGTATGAAGCTTGTCAAATTCATCCAGCTTGGCATCTTGTTCTTCCATCTTATTTTCCGGAACAATGCCCAACATTTCTTTGTGCAGCGCAGTATACTCAAGGTAGTGAGAGTCTAGCTTTTGGAGTAAACTTTGAGTAACGGGAGACTCACCTGTTTGTCATCTTCGGCTTTCTCGAGAGCGTGGGAGATTGCTGTCACTTTGCCCTTCACCTGGCCGCGTTGGTGGATGAGCGGCTTAGCGTCAGCCATCGTCAATTTGGTTGGTGTCCGGTCAATTCCCATCACAACGAAGGCGACGTTACTGCAGGGAGAGTAACGAAGTCACTACGGATAGAGTGACTGGAAACGATATTGAGGGATTGATTCGGAACCAAGAGCACTTCGAATGGTTTTCGCACTGATATTTTTTGTCGTTTTTAACACTTTTAGTTCTTGTTCATATTTTCTTGCACTGGATTGTCTTTTTGTCACTAGTTCATCTGCTTCAGTCAATGTTCCACTAATTCTTCTTCTTTAGAGTTACTGTTCTTCTCTGTTTTTCTCTTCATCACTTCACTTTTCGATTTTTTCCATCATCTCCGGCTCGAAGGAACAACATGTTGGCAGCAGCCAACATCTCAACCGCATGGGTTGGAAGGATGAGTGCCAGCAGCATCAACTTGACTCTGAACTGTGCCACAGCAAAATGGCGGATCCAGCTATGCCACGTACGGAGGACGATGTGCAGCCAGATGCTACCTGCGATCGCTGTTTGCCCTCTCAACCTGCAACCGACTTGCATTGATTATCTCCTTTGAAGAAAATTCTATAAATTCTATAGCAAGCAGGTTGCAATGTCGAGAGAAACAAAAAGTTACTAGCAGGAATTAGCCTGCGCCGAGCGTGCCGAGCGAATTGCAAAGATGGCGGCGAAAACACCATCGGGATCGTCTTCGGGTTCGGCAAATCAAAACACTTTTTCGTTTGTTCCTCTTCGATCTATTCACTTTGATGGTACGATTACAAATGACAATGCGTCCGGTTGTGACCGGCGCTTTTATAGAAAAAAAAAGGGTTTACAAAACAAAATGAAACGCTGTGATTGGCTGCCCGACCAGTGACGCTTTGGCAGGAATGAGGTACCGGCTGGTTTATTGGCGTTGACGGCACCGTCGAAGAATTTGCTCTTCCAGCAAATTTAGATAGTTTCTTATGGGAATTTTCGGTGGAGTGAAAGGATAGTACAAAGTCCGCTATGTTTCACGCACAGTCTGACGTTTGCTTATGGATTTTCTCATAGGAGTAAAGAGCTACAGAGTCGCCGTCAACGCCAATAGCAATGACACATAGCGTTCGATGATTGGCTGTTGATTTCGGGTTGATGATTGTGGTGGTCGTTCACGCAACGACGGCAGACTCTCGTTCGCTGCAGCGAACAGTAAGTTTTGAAAGTCCTCAAGGTTGAAACTTAATATGTAGTTATGAAGATGAAGTTTGCTGGATGGAAAATTTCGAAGAAAATAATAATATATTTGCATATACTTATGTAATATTAATTTTATTGCGCCTAAATTATCCGGCAGATTGGTACACACTTTAAATTATGACTTTTTATTATGTACTACAGTGTCTAAAAACGCATTATGAATTGTTCCAATTTATTGATACCAAAACCTGATCACGAATACAATTCGTTCGCAATGCAAAAGTATAGGTATTAAAATCTGATCTAAAATATAAAATCCATTATCGCACAGAAGGTATTTGCTCTTTATTGAACGCTACACATAAAATAATGTTTAATTTAAGATTACTCTAGTAGAAGATAATGAGAATTCATTAAATAAAATAGTAAAATAGTTTCATTCCCTCCTAGGCTTTCGTTTTTTGACACCACCTTCTGGTTCCATAGCAGGCTTGTTAGTATCTTCCTGAAGTTGCCCAGCTGTATCTTTTCCTTCAGGGGTTAAAACGTGTTGTTCTTCTTCTTCTTCTTCGTCGTCCTGGTCATCCTCTTCATCTTCGTAGTTATCATTTGCCTGTTGGGAATCTGCAGCATTTGATTGTACCCTATCGTCTTCATTCGAGTTCAGGTTTGACTTTGATATGACAGTTTCTTCCCTGTGTTCGCTGTCGAAAGAATATTCGTCGGTTTTCTTAGCTCGCGCAATAGGAGAGGGTGTGCTCTGTGTTAGAATGAAAGTATTATTAGATGGAGATTCGATGGTAACGGAATCAAGTACCCAAAACAATGAAGGAAAACAAGGTTTTGAGCAGATGAATAACTTAAGGTTCAATTCACTTTGAAGCATTTCTGAAAAATTCAAATGCATTTTTTTTTTCGACGCATCATTTCAGATTGCAAAAAGCTCGCGTCATTTTGTGTAAAATAGCAAAAAGAATAGAATGACGCGAGCTTTTTGCAATCTGAAATGATGCATCGAAAAAAAAAAAGGAATTTGAATTTTTCGAACATGCATCAAAGTAAGGCTAGAAGGCATTACCTTTGAAGAACAAGCTAAGTAGATAAAAATGGCTAGCGGTAAACCTACTACTACTAAGAGGACAGCCCACATCCATGGATTTTCGTTGGTAAATTTCATTACGCGAGATACGACAGTTTCCTAAATAAAATAGAGAAATGGATAGGATGTAAGGAAAAACTAGCGATAATAAGGGGTGCTTGAAATGACTCTATGACATTAAACCGAACGTTCCACTAACCTCAACCCCAAAAGTGAATATTTAGTATGCGAAGGTGTTACAATAGCCCATATAATTTACTTTCGTTTCCCGCGCTTTTCTTACGGAACGAATATTACTTAAATTACTTTACTTTACCTTAAAAGTAAACTCTTTACTTTAAAAGTATGACCTAGCCCTGCGATCAACGACAGAGATAATGAAGTTGAAGTTTACATTCAGTGTTTTTAAATGTTGATTAAGACGGTTCAGATTGGACGCAAATCACCCGAAAACCTATCCATTGAGCTTTTTTTATAAACATTTTGGTCCTTCGAACCTGATTTTGATGGTTTTTGTGTTGGTTTGGGCCGAAATCCAGTGGAAAGATGTACTTTTCCGGGAATTACCATCTTGTTCAAATAATTCGGCACTGCCATTCGACGCATCGTACCAGTGGTCCTACCGTTTGTGTGTGTGCAAGTGTATGTTGTAACGTGTCAACAAAATTGGATGCTGCCGTAAAGCAAGTACTTTTTCGTGGAAGTTGCTCGTAGCAACTAAACAAAAACATAAGTGCTAGTGGAAGCTGTTAGAGGCTCAAAAACATCGAACTTTAGATGCTGCTAAGCAGCAAGTGTTCGTTTTTCCCGTAGAAGCTGCTCACTTGCAGCTGAACAAAAACACTCGAAAGTAGTTGGGTGCTGCCGTGCAGCAAGTGCAAGTGTTGAAGCTAGTTCCTTGATACAATAGTGAAAGTTAGATGCAACAAGTACATTATCGATGAACATGCTGTTAGACAATGAAGTGCAATTGTTTTTCGTATGCAAACTGCTCGTAACAGTCGAACATAAATAAAAACTTTGGATACTGACTTGCAGCAAGTGCTCGTATAGAAGCTGCTCATTGCAGCCAAGTGGAACCGAAAATAATATGAACAACGAACTTTTTTGCTGAAAGTATAAGAAACATTACACTCTGCCACAGCAGAAAGCAGCACAAGCAAAACAATTGGAGCAACAAAAAATGGAGCAACAAAAAATGGAGCAGAATCTCGAAAGGTTGTTGGCTCGGAACGATCTGTTGAAGATGAAGCTATTTCAGATAGCAGAAGCGCTAGAAGAAGAGGCGGACAATATTTCAGATCCAAACTGCAATTTCGAAGCTGAAGAATGAAGAAGACAAAGCTAAGCAAGAAGCGCAGAAACCCCTAGTAGCATCGTTCATCTCACATCAACAGATTATGGTCAATGCTGCTGCCCTGCATCTGCAAGTACCGTTGCCGACTTGCAATGGAAACCTTGAGAACTGGTACTCGTTCAAATGCATCTCCAAACTATCATGGGCAGGTATCCGAACGAGTCTCGTTGTCCTTCCGGCAATAGCAAAGTGAGGGGGTGCTACGCGAACACTGGCGCGGTAACCATAGCACGGCGATAGAGTAAATGCTTCGTCAACCCGCAGGAGTGCCAACCGGCACATTGGGATCGACGCCAGTAAGATACTAATTACGGCATACTGGACACGGCATGGAATAATGGACACGATACGGCACAATGAATTGGATACCACGCTACAGGTCTGACAGTCGTGCTATTCTGCTCCCTGGGTGAAGAAGGGTGATCTTGAAATGGCGAGTGGGCTAATAGTGTGGCTGCCCCCGTCCCGGTAAAACCTTGGCAGGCCTCCGGATACGTTCAAAACTCGTCACCAATTGGTGGTTGGTGAGTAGTAGACTCAGATGTAACATTCCTGACTTACGCCGATCTAGCTCTGAACACGGCCCCCATGAAGGACCGTGTCAACCCTAGCATGGAATCCTGCTTGCAGAGATAACCATGGGATCACGATAGGAGACTACATACAACGAGTTGAGATAGCGGCCCGGAGGGGAAACCCATCAGAATGGAAAAAATCGGAGAAAAAAAAGAAAAATGAAGAAAATTAAAAAAACAAAACAAAAATATGAAGGACGACGGCAAGACGCCAGATAGTGAAAACGGAGGAGCGAACGTGTTCGCAAGGAGCGGGATATTGCAGAGATCACCAGTGTCGAACCTGGGGGCCACTGCGAGTACCAGCAGCAGCAGTAAGCCCTAAGGTTAACATCAAGGACCCTAAAGTTTCCAAGGAGAGCAGCCAGGCGTTGGGCTAAGCCAGATATTCACACCGATATCCAGCAGTAGCATATCTCAAGAACTGCAGCTCGGGAGAACCAAAATGACGGAGGTCAGGAGGAAGATCAATGAACTCTATGTGTTCGTGAAGGATAAAAACAACGTACACAGAGATCACGCAACTTGTGACTGGAATCAAATTCGGCATAACAGTGGCAGATCGGGAATTCCAAAAGTGGAGAAAAAGAGCCGAAAATGCCGAAAAGGCTCTCCTGGAGGCCAAGGAGAGCATAAGACTGACTGAAGCACATGAGAAGCCGAAGGGACCCGGCCCGGAGGGGGGACCCATCAGAATGGAGAAAATCGGAGAAAAAAAAACAAAAATGAAGAAACTGAAAAAACCAAAAAAAAAAATATGAAGGACGACGGCAAGACGCTAGACAGTGAAAACGGAGGAGCGAACGTGTTCGCAAGGAGCGGGATATTGTAGAGATCACCAGTGTCGTACCTGGGGGCCACTGCGAGTACCAGCAGCAGCAGTAAGCCCTAAGGTTAACATCAAGGACCCTAAAGTTTCCAAGGAGAGCAGCCAGGCGTTGGGCTAAGCCAGATATTCACACCGATATCCAGCAGTAGCATATCTCAAGAACTGCAGCTCGGGAGAACCAAAATGACGGAGGTCAGGAGGAAGATCAATGAACTCTATGTGTTCGTGAAGGATAAAAACAACGTACACAGAGATCACGCAACTTGTGACTGGAATCAAATTCGGCATAACAGTGGCAGATCGGGAATTCCAAAAGTGGAGAAAAAGAGCCGAAAATGCCGAAAAGGCTCTCCTGGAGGCCAAGGAGAGCATAAGACTGACTGAAGCACATGAGAAGCCGAAGGGACCCGGCCCGGAGGGGGGACCCATCAGAATGGAGAAAATCGGAGAAAAAAAAACAAAAATGAAGAAACTGAAAAAACCAAAAAAAAAAATATGAAGGACGACGGCAAGACGCTAGACAGTGAAAACGGAGGAGCGAACGTGTTCGCAAGGAGCGGGATATTGTAGAGATCACCAGTGTCGTACCTGGGGGCCACTGCAAGTTCCAGCAGCAGCAGTAAGTCCCAAGGAGAGCAACCAGGCGTTGGGCTAAGCCAGATATTCACACCAATATCCAGCAGTATCAAATCTCAAGAACTGCAGCTTGGCAGAACCAAAATGACGGAGGTCAGGAGGAAGATGGATGAACTCTATATGTTCGTAAAGGATAAAAACAACGTACAAAAAGAGATCAAGCAACTTGTGACTGGAATCAAATCCGGCATAACAGTGGCAGATCGGGAATTCCAAGAGTGGAGAAAAAGAGCCGAAAATGCCGAAAAGGCTATCCTGGAGGCCAAGGAGAGCATAAGACTGGCTGAAGCACATGAGGAGTCGAAGGGACCCACAAATCCACGTCCTGAAAGGAGAGATAGGGACACGCCAGGAGATGAGGAGGAGCCCAAAAACGCAGGGATGACGAGGAAGGCATCAAGGAGATGGGAGAAAATGGTAGATGGCGTAAAGTCGAGAACCAGAAGGAGAGGAAGAAAAAACAGAAAGAAGATGAAGTTAGGAAGAAGGAAGAGGAAACGAGGAAGAAGGAAGAGTAGAAGAAGGAAGACAGGAAGAACAAGGAGAAGCCGGAGGCGGCGGGTTCGATTCCTGGTCTGGTCGAGGGAATATTTCGGATTGGAAATTTTGTCGACTTCCCTGGGCATAGAGTATCATTGTGTTTGCCACACAATATACAAATTCATGCATTGGTTATTGGCATCGAAAGCTCTCAATTAATAACTGAGGAAGTGCATTTAGAACACTAAGTTGAGAGCATGCAATAAGCTAATATGCACTAAGCAATAAGCTTGAAATGCGAATAAGAAGAAGAAGCAGTCCTCCGGAAAGTGAGAGAAGATCCGGAGTTGAAACAACTAGGCGAGAACGTGGTGAAAACCAGGCGAACCCAGAAAGGCGAGATGCTATTTGAGCTGAAAAGGGAGCCTACGGTTAAGAACGCAGCTTTTAAAGAGCTCGTCGAAAAATCTCTTGGCGGGGCAGCGAACGTAAGAGCCTTATCCCAGGAGTCAGTGGTTGAGTGCAGGGATCTGGACGAGATCACAACGGAAGACGAGTTGAAAAGTGCACTGAAGGTACAATGCAACCTGGGAGACGTACCAATGGCAATTCGGTTAAGGAAGGCGTATGGTGGCGCTGAAGATAGACCGAATCAAGGTCGGGTGGTCAGTGTGCCCGTTAAAAGCTATTCCTCGGGTGTCTAAGAAAATGGATAGATGCCACCAATGCATGGGCTTCGGTCATCAGGCGAGAAACTGCAAAGGCCCTGACAGATCTGATCTGTGCAGGAAATGCGGAGAGAAGGGGCACGTTGCAAAAGACTGTACAAAGCAACCGAGGTGCATGCTCTGCAAAAAGGAGGATGGAAATGGCCATGTGACGGGAAGTTTCAAGTGCCCTGAGTTGAAGAAGGCGAGGTGGGCCAGCAATAATGAAGGTAACCCAAATAAGTCTCAATCATTGCAACACAGCACAGCAACTGTTGTGGCTGTCGAAAACGGGAACAAAGTGCGACGTTGCTATCATTGCAGAGTCATATAGAGTCCCTCTCGATAATGGTAACTGGGTGGTCGATAGAGCAGGAATGGCGGCCATACATGTCATGGGCAGGTATCCCATTCAACAAGTGGCGGCGGGCTCATTCGAAGGTTTCGTGATCGCCAAAATCAATGGAATCTAAGTATGTAGTTGCTACGCACCCCCGAGATGGACAATTGAGCAGTTCCACCAAATGCTAGATGAGCTCACCGGAGAGCTCATTGGACGGAAACCAGTCCTCATCGCAGGAGATTTCAATGCATGAGCAGTGGATTGGGGGAGCAGGTGTACCAACGCAAGAGGGTATAGTCTGCTGGAAGCTCTGGCAAAGTTAAACGTTAGTCTGGCCAACTTAGGAACTAGCAGCACCTTCCGCAAAGATGGTAGGGAATCCATTAGCGTCGTCACTTTCTGCAGTACGTCGCTAGTGACAAATATAAACTGGAGAGTGTGCGAAGAGTGCACCCATAGTGACAATCAGGCGATCCGGTACAGTATCGGCGAACGGACACCGGTGGGGAAATGCGGAGGACGTAAGTAAGCGAGCGGAAGTGGAAGACGAAGGAATTCAATAAGGATCTCTTCATCGAAGCTCTAAGGGTAGACAGCAGCATTCCGGGTCTAAGCGCGAACAAGTTGACCGAATCATTAGCAAGGGCATGTGACACAACTATGCCGAGAAAACTGGAGCCAACGAACAGGCGGCGTCCAACCTACTGGTGGAACGAGGAAATTAGCACCCTCCGTGCTAGTTGTCTTCTAGCCAGAAGGCGCGTTCAGAGAGCAAAAACGGAAGCAGACATGGGGATTGCATTTCATAAATTCGTCTACCATTACTATGTCTACTTTTTCCATATGGGACTGATATATGATTTTAGGCAGTATAACCACAGACAAACAGACGTAACTCTTTGAAAAAGTTTCTCTTGAAAACATAGTATCTCAAAACATAGGACCTCAGTAGCGACATCTTTCAGGCTTCTCGCGGAAAACAAGCTTGCTCGCTAACTCGCAAACAATATTGCATAAAAGTTCTATAGAATGTATAGAAACGTCAAAGTGATCCGATGCCAGCGCTGCGGCGAGTAGTTCGAGGAACTGATAATATTCAAATCAACCGTTAAATGCGTGAACTAAGATACACAATGAAGAGTTACGTCTGTTTGTCTGTGGTATAACCACCGACGAACCGACGTGACAGCTCATACAAGCTACTTTCAAATTTGTGCCCAAGACGCCATATTTAAAATACGTTAAACACTACCGACATCTACTCATCCAATCGCGACATACCATGAGCAAGTACACGAACCCACGTATAATTTACATTGTCTTGGTTTGCGTCTCACCTCATTTGACAGATCTGATCGCCCGTTTGAAAGTTCGAATCGCTCGTTTGAAAATTAGAATTGTGGACAACCGTAATGCTCCTGTGGCATGTCGGTTCGTCGGTGGTATAACCATAAAGATAACTCTAAGACCAGAAAGTTTCGAAGAAACGAGTTCAACTTTTTGGCTCAGCCTGGTACTATCTTCGGTCCCAAGCTAATCGATTCACCCCTCGAAACATAGAAAAAACCAATAACCCCTCATTTTATCTGTCAAACTTTCATAGCGAATCAAAACAAACATAGCGTAGGACTAGAATTTTGACTATAATGGGGTACGTTAATCGTTTGCTTGGGACCAATAGGCTAGTCAAGTAGTGAGCCAATTTAAAATCGTTAGTTTCGTATTGATTGTTGGTATAACCCTGTGTTAATAAGATCAGTTTTTATAATTTCTGCTTTTATTTTTACTAATATACGTGGTAATTAGCAATCGGGATAACGGCATTTTGAGTAGTGATATTCGGGGTAATGTCATAGAGTCGCTGAAAATATGGTGAATTTAAAATTTTAAGGATTGTATAAAAACTGCTTATTATCAAACCTCTTTGTCCCGACGCTTAAGCAGGAACCAAATATAAGCAATAACCGGAATTGAACAGTATACGAAGTATGCGAACCAATATCCTGGTTTGTATCCCATATATTTCATCGCTCGATCCCATAGAGTATTCTGTTCATGTTAGAATTATATCAAAGAAAGCGTACATATTAGAGTGGTTCAAAATATCGATTTTGCTCCGCAAATCTCAATAGATTCCTAATCAGCTGCTGGTAACGCTCTCAAAATTTGAGATTATTTGGATGCGAACTCATACTACCCTGGCCCTTTGAAGTCTATATAGGAATTACTATGAGAAAAATAAACTTTTCGTTCTCATCATCCTAGCCCTTTGCCATAATGATTTCCGCAAGGCACGGGCTAGTGAATACCACCCACCACCTTTTATAATTCAATAATACATTTCTGTTTACAGAATTTGAAAAAAAAAAAGAAAAGTTTGCAGTGTCGTTGTTGGGCTTTTCGTTAAAAATATTTTCAAGATTGGACACTCACGAATAACATATCAAAAGGGTGAAAATTGCTCAAATTATGCGATTAGTGAATTTTAACCTACGAGCATCTCGAACATAACAACTTTGGGCAATTAAAGCACTAGGAGCTTTTTTATTGTAAATTTAATGTATTTTAATAATCACACCATTTCAAAGATATTCGATAACTGTAGGTACAGTACTTGTTCGCTAACTGGACAATCTTTAACTGGGCTGCTTTTTAACTGGGCGTCCGTTAACTGGGCTGTAGCCCAGCTAAAAAGCAGTTATACATTTACATTTAGTTGTCATAATTTGTGAGGGGTATTTGAATGGAATATCAAATGATAATGTAAATAAATTAGAAATTATTTTCATTTCACACTGAAATCACGACTTAAAAGCGTTAATATATAGGGAAAAGGGCTCTAATGTTGGCCTATGGATCTAAGATTGGGCCCATCGCTAGAAATCTGCTATTTATCAATTTTATCAAAATGAACGCGTCATTGGGACGGTGCTAAGGGATATTTTTGGTTACTATTCAAAATTTAGTCGATTGCTGAATTTATGTATGGGTCCAAATTAGGGACATTTAGGCCGACATGACATCTATTTCCCCTATATCAAGTCGGGGTAAACGCTCCTATAGTTGCGGTACGTAAGAAGCGTTAAGTTCCTATAGTTGTGTATTGAGTCTCCATGCACAACTTTAGGAACCTAACGCTTCTAACGTACCGCAACTATAGGAGCGTTTCCCCTAATGCTTTCATAATTACTATGTCCAGGAAGTTTTTCTTGAAAATATTTTCTAATGTAACATTATATACTCCCTAATTAAGAACTGACATAAACGTAATAAACCCATGGCACTCTGACATAAACCGTGATACAGAAATGTTTCTTTCATATTACTTCGTTTAGGATAATCACTAGCAATAATTGGACAATACACTCATAGTTTGCTAAGTGAAAGATCGTTAACTGACTTAACATTGAACTGGCATTCCGCTAACTGTACCAAGTTTCATTTAAAGGATGCTTATAAGTATTGCAATACTAACATGTCACGAAAAGCTTTACTTTGATGCACTTTAATTGGAGAGTACTACCGAAGACAACAAATCAAGAAGACTGGCAACTCTTCCATTTGCACATACGCCGCTCAAAGGTAAATGCTTCGAACGAATTCGATAGCAAAGATTACATCCTCAGAAGAAGGGTTTGTGTATTTGCTCATTTTTCTATGCGTTGCTTGCACCTTCACTCAAGCGCAGCGTCATTGTATCTGTCGCTTGGATTCTGGCAAAGTTGCCAGTCTTCTTGATTTGTTGTCTTCGGTACTACGAAAGGCTGAATCACACGAATAAACTCGAGAAAGCGTTCTAGTTACACACATTCAACTGCTTGCGCAACTCGCTACCTAATCAGAATGTTGCGTATGTGTAAATAAACCTTCTCATACCTGCAGCTTACTACTTACTGGTTTTTCCCAAAAAGGCAGCAAGTGAGAACACCTCTATATCTAATATTTTCATCTTGGCTTCATTTTTTTGTGAATGCAAACCATTTAACGAGCCGAGCCAGTTGTGCGAGCAGAAAGGCTAACAGATTGTTTGGATGCAGTTTTCAACAAATGCAGTTTTTGATAAATTTTCGGCTTTTTTGGTTTTCGGCCTTTCTGGCTTTCGGCCTTTTGTGGTACCTTAGCATATTTTCGGCCTTTTATGTTTCGGTCTTTTGTGATTCGGCCTTCTGTACGGGTCCCCTTTAATTGTATTTGACAATTATGTATGATATATGATATGCATCAGTTAGACCACCCGCACCAATGCGTTGCTAAAGCTATTTTAGCAACCTCCACCATAACATAGCAACCTCCATCATAACGCAGCAACCGCACCGGGGGTTGCTATTCAAGTGCGGGAAATAACAATCTGCCTCTCGGTGAACAACGGGTTATCAAATTTGGTAACGCGATAGCGACCGACCCAAGCGTTGCTATTTGAGAAATGTAGTTTTTGTGTTTCATTTGAAAATTGTTAATGAGTTTGCATCTGGGACCAGGGACAGCGAAGCTGCAAAACAAGTCAATTTGTAAAAAAGAATCTAGGGCTCCGCGATTTTTTTTAAACAACTTGTTGTGATGCTGTATGGATCAATTTGGATTTGAGACTATGATGTGCACTAGACTGATGCAAAATTTGAAATTTTCGCTCCACAGTGCTCAAACGGTTCCAAATTGGGCCCTGATTAGCCTCCCAAAATTTGAACTCATTTAGTGAGAAACTGACTTGACACAAACCATTTGAAGTTTATATGGGAATTACTATGGAAAAACCATAATTTCGGTTCATATCTATCTCAAAATTCACCAGTTCACTCTACTTAAGAAAATGATAACTGAGCTTGTTGAAAACTCAGCTAGAACTTTGTTGAAGCCCACCTTTCGATCAAATGTAAGGAACAAAAATTATTAATGATTCAAATCACTGATGTCTTATGATTATGCTCAATCAACTGTTCAGCAGGCAACATTGGTGTTTATGGCGCGTAGAATAGAGGACAAAAATCATGGCTACAATGTCACACTGCAGAATGCAGTGTTGCCCACAATACAGTTGCTTAATCTTGACATAAGAGTATCAATCTATTAAACAATTAATAGCTATTTAATTTGACGTTTGGCTGAAAAACGATTTTCTGCAAAGTTGTAGCTGATAAAAAATCCCATAAGAATAGTAATAGAATTTGTTAACAGTACAATATGTAAAACGGCTAGAGGACAATGCACAAAAAGTTTTGTTTTCCCATAGTAATTTCCATTTAAACTTCAAATGGTTTGTGCCAAGTCAGTTTCTTATCAAATGAGTTTAAGCTTTCGGAAGCTAATCAGGACCCGATTTGAAACCCTGTGGAGCGAAAATTTCAAAGTTTGCATCAGTCTAATGTGCACTCTGGTAAACGGGACGGTCAGTAACATCAGTAAAGGTGGTATTAGCGCCCCTCGGTGGTACTTTGTATGGGAGCCAGCTGTCAATTTGTTAGTTTTGTGTCAAACAGTGAAGTGGTTATTTAGCTTTAGATCTTGATCTCGATTGTTAACGAGATAAAAGTAAATGGGATTGAAAAAATATCAAATCAAATTAAATTCATTTATGTAACATCACCACAAAGAACTACCTAAAATCTGCGGAGCTCTGAAATCTTTAGCTACGAATTTACCACTGTTACGGATATGCTTAATATTCCGGAGGCCAGCAAAGTGCACATGCTAGTTTAGTTCTAGGTCCAAACTAATTCATGCAGCATCACAACGAGTTCTTTAAAAAAACAGTATGGAGCTTTAGAATATTTTTAACGAATTGACCACTTTTAAAGACATTACAAATCTTCGTTTCGTCGCCAGCAGGAAGCACATGCTGGTCTTAAATCCAAATTCATTCATATAGCTTCACAACAAGTGATTGAAAAAATTGCGAGGGTCTAGAATATTTTTTACGAATTTAACAATTTTACGGATGTTCACGAAGCTCTGCGATCAGTTTTAGCTCGAAGCTCGACGATAGATTTAGCACTACTGGTACGAAAGTTAAAAACATAAATTAACAATGCGACCGGTGCGAAACCTGATTGCTAACTAATATAGAAACGGCTAAAGTTTTCAAACTAGCAGCCTGAATGGCAACGCACCGGTGGTGGTGGTGGTCTTACAAATGCCGTTCGATTTGTGCATAGTTAAAACAAATCAGTTACCGAAGTTGAGTATTTATATTTTTGGCAGGTTCGTACATATTCGGCCTTTTTCAATTTTTGTCCTTTTGTGGTAGGTCCAGCGAATCCAAACACATAAAGCAACCATCGATACAGACAAAATGCTTGCAACGACTACCATTACAAACTCTCTCTGCAACACAGCTCATCTTCGGCTTTACTTCGTGAAGTAGCTTGTAGGATTGGGCGATCTTGGATTGATCTTTGGAAGATCGATCTTTTTCATCCCAATTTCCAATTTTTCGGATCGATTCTTTGTCCAAGAAAAAATCGAAAAAATAAATCGATCTCTTCTTTCGATCTTAAAAAAAAGGTGTTAAATTTTGTAATTTAATTGACATTGAAAAAACGATTTACTCTCACTCCAGACTGCATGGTAAATTTAACGAACATAACGTCAACATCAGCATCCCCAAGTAACATTGCAAGTTTTATCATGGTTTTAAAGCGTTCTACAAGTCCAATTCATGGTCTACCAAACCCTCATAAAACCAAAATTGTTACTACAATGACGTCACTATTTGCTTTTCCGATATTTACGAATACAGCAACATTTGAAGCTAGATGAACTAGCCTAAGGCTAAAAATCTCTTTAATAAAGCTTTAAAAAAAAACATTTGAAGGTTTCGCTACCTCCCTCCTGTGCTCATTGCTCCTTACCATCACGACAACATTTAATTTAATATTATAGAGGAAAGAATTACTTGGGGTACCAACGTTAACAAGCGTATACCGTATGCGTGATAATGTTTGCACCATTGAGCTATGTCAAAATTTAAAAAAAATCTCAGAAATTTCGTTTTTGAGTTTTTTTTTATTTATTAAAAAGGGGGATGTTTCTCAGAGTCTTAAACTATGTTAATCATCGATCGAGTTTTCGGAATTCACGGGAGGTTGTAATAATGTAGTCTGGATCCATTTCTCTCCAGGTACGGGTCAATGTTTGTTTGGATGGCGACCTCATATCCTTCGCCCAGAACGGAAGATGTTCCTGCAACCGCTTCTGAGTGCGGTTCGAGGTGTGGCACGGAGCCCCATCTTGTTGAAATACAACAATATACCGGTCGGTTCTGGAATTTGATACGGGATCGACGGTAAACATGCTCTCGTCGGCGAACAGGATTACCGGATTTTTTCGCTTAAGGAAGTTCAAGATTTTCTTGCATCGTTCGACTCGTAGCTCCCGGATGCGGTTGGCAGTCATGTGAGTTTTTTTCCGTGCCCTCGACTTCACCTGCAATCTTGCTTTACGATCTCTGATCCCGTATTCCTTTGCCATTTTTCTTATTGAACGCACTGGATTCACCCGAATCTTCCTTGTGATAGCAGCGATAACCCTCGGACCCCGAGCTGACCTCGGACGACCTGTGGCTACCTTCGCGGATAGTTGTCCTTTCTTTTCTCGGTCTAAACCCTTTTGACGGTCCACCGGGACACTCCCACGACGATTGAAATGTATTTTTGCAACATTTGCGCTTGGGACTTCGTCATGGTGCAATTGTCAAACTAAGTTAATCAATTTCTTTTATACACATCCTACTACGGTATGAGCTATAGGTTACATGCATGCAAAGAAAACCAAGGCATTGTATGTACAGGTGAAACGGGAACCTTATTTGTACGATGGTGCAAACATTATCACGCATACGGTAGTCCATTCTATATGCAAGAGTAAGGTCCAAAAGTGAGGAAAACAACATTTTTGGCTAGAGCGAAAGTAAGGATAGCAAACTAAGCACTTGAAAATGGGGTTTCGCAATTGCACACTTGGTATAAACCTCAGAAAGGTCAATTAAAATTAAAACCATAAGATCGATCTACCAAAGATCGATTTTTTGGTACCGATTTAATCAGTGGATCGATTCTAGAGCCAAATATAAGATCGATCTTTCTCTGAAGATCGCCCAATCCTAGTAGCTTGCCAACAATTGGCGTTGACGGCGCCGTCGAAAAATTTGCTCTTCCAGCAAATATAGACAGTTTCTTATGTGAATTTTCGTCGTTTCCTTCTACCGGCTCGAGTGAGTGAGCCGATCCTGTTTGTCATGAAAAAAGGATGAAGAATATATCAAAATTGCTTTCCATTTCTGACAAGCCGTTATCGTTCGGCTCGTTGTTCGCTTGTCATTTTGTCATTTAGAGATAATGTTGATACCTTGGGTAGGTCTATACATGTTCGGCATTTGGTGATTGGGATTGTGTCTCCTTCCCGAATAAACTCATGCATGAGATATGAGTTTTTCCGAACACTGCGTCACGTGATGTGACTCGAAGTCATCAGTCGGTATTCCGAGACGAAATTAAGCTCTTCATAGAAATAAGTAATTCTAGCGACGTTGAAGAATTCCAAAATGAAATCAACTTATTTTACACTTGGTGTAGTGATTCTACCCCAATTCAACGAAAAAATGTAACGTACTATAATAGTATTGAGCAGAAAATAGAAACACTTTAAAATATGTTTAGGTAACCATAAAGTATAAAAAAAATAAAATTGTAAACGACTTAGGTGTAATCCTAGATTTCAAACTTAATTTTGAAGAATATTATAACACCATCATAACAAAAGCATATTTGTATACTTTGGCTTCATTAATAGGATCAGCTATAATTTTCAAGACCCATGCACTATTAAATTAGTATACATTACATACGTAAGACCTATTTTGGAATACTGTAACCTAATATGGAATCCGTACATTGCCATACACGAGGGACGCATAGAAACCGTCCAAAAATAATTCCTTATATGTGCCCTTCGCAAATTGATTAGGATTGCATTCCCTCTTCCATCATATGAAGCACGCTGCATATGCTCATCAACTTACAAAAACTCAAAGAACTCCGCGAATTAGCAATACTTTTCTTCATCAATGATATTATATCACATCGCATATAATCATCAGAATTACTATCACAATTATACTTTTACACACCCTGTCGGCATCTTAGAGCACGGAAATTATTCTCAGAAAAATCGCACAGAAAAAAAAATACACAAAAAATAGCCCCATCAATCGACTGATCCGACAGTATAATCTACAATGCAAAGTCATTAGCATAACTATGTCAAAAGAACAAATTAAAACCGACTAAAACATAATAAAAATAATGCATAGCATGTAAGTAAAACATTGTAATATGTAGTCTACTTTTGGTGACCGAAATAAATAAATAAATACATAATTTAGGATGTACTTAAGTAGTATTCCTAAATTATACATGGATTTTACATTAAATGTATGTATAACAAATGTAGAAGAAAGTACCAGGTACGCTCATTACTTAATAACATTATTCCGAATGTACTACTACCTATTCCCATTACCCCGAAATTAATATATATTAAAAGCAATATGTTGTAGAACGGAGTATGCATAATGCTTCACATACATAGAGCATCTTTTAGATAGATTTCTGGATAATTTTCTTTAGAAAACCCCGCGTTTGTTCTCAACCAGTTTTCAAATTTCTACTAGACAATTCTAGAATACAAAAGTACTAGCACTGGAAATATAGTATGTAGGACAAACATGAATTACGTTAGTAGTAGTAGCAAATTCGGTTTCGAGTTAATTGAATTATTAGTAATCAATCATTCCAAATCGAAGTCCAGAAAATTCAAGATCTAAATTGAGGTGGTTAGAAGGAAATGGTTGTAAGTGACTTTGATCGATTCTCTTAATCGACTTTCTCTTTTGATAGCCACAGCTTTATAAGCAGATTTTACGCTATTTCTGCCATATAGTTTGATAAAGAAGGTTCTCATCTAGAATGAGGCTGTTCATAAACTACGTAGAACGATTTTTAGATGTTTTAGACCCCCCTTCCTCGCGTAGACAATCGTCCATGCAAGTTTTTTGTCAACCTACCCCCCCCTCCTAAAGAGTCTACGTAGTGTATGAACAGCCCCCATCCAGAATGGCACACGAATCAAGGAATGTGTTTGCAGCTGAATTATCAACGAAAGAGAAAGTAGATGAAGAGAATCGATCAAAGACACTTACACCTCTTTCATTCTAACCCCCTCAATTGTATCCCATCCCAAATTCATAGCGAATGAAAACTAGTCCAAGTATTTAAGCTTTTCAAATAGAAAGACAAGTGACTCCTAGTGACTGTCAGGCGAAAGAAGAAGTTCAATGCGAGAAAATCAACTGGAGTGTTGGCAAATCAAAGCTATAGCCCTGAAGCTGTACTCCACCCCACATGATATATATTGAAAATGTTTGAGAAGGAAATTTTCTTCTTTCGTTTATACCAAAATAAGACACAAACTTCTTAATGGATCAAGAACATTGAGGACAGCAAGGAAGTTTTTTTTTCCTTGATTTGTTTTCCGTACTGAGTACCAATACTACCGACGCCAGGAAGGCAGCTCCCACACCTGGACCCTACCTATCGACCTATATACTCATGGACCGGAGACCAACGGCTTAACTTTCCTTCCAAAGAAAGTCGTGATCAGACCCTGATTGAACCTAGGCCTTTTGGGGTGAGAGGCAATCACGCTTACCACTACACCACCGGCGCCCCTATGTCAAATGGTTGATACGATTGATATGTTTATTTTGTGATTTAGCTTACTTGTTATGGAATCCATTAATCAGTAAACCTATAATATAAACCTTTCTTTCGTTTCCGTGCATTACTTACTGCTTTTTTCTTGGCTTGACCTGATGTCGAATTAACAGGTGCTTAATACCTATATTATAATTA